TACGGGGGGGACACGAGTGGGACAGGGGGGACATGGGGGACACATGGGAGGACACAGAGGGGACACGAGTGGGACACGAGTGGGACATGAAGGACACACGGGTGGACACAGAGGGATACGGGGGAACACGAGTGGGACACACGATGGGACACGGCAGGACACGAGTGAGATACAAGGGGGACACGAGTGGGACAGGGCAGACATGGGGGACACATGGGAGGACACAGAGGGGACAGGATGGGACGGGGGACTCATAGGAGGACACAGAGGGGACACGAGTGGGACACGGGGGGATACGAGTGGGACACGAGTGCGACATGAGTGGGACGTGAGGGACATGTGGGACACAGGGGAGGACACGAGTGGGACAGACAATGGGGCATGGAGGACACAGCGGGGACACATGGGAGGACACAGAGGAGACACGAGTGGGACAGACAATGGGACATGGGAAGACACAGAGGGGACATGAGTGGGACACGAGTGTGACACGAGGGGGACAGGGCGGACACGGGGGACACATGGGAGGACACCGAGGGGACACTAGGGGGACACGAGTGGGACATGGGGGCACACATGGGAGGACACGAGTGGGACACAGAAGGTAAAGGGGGGACATGAGTGGGACACGAGTATGACATGAGGGGACATGGGAGGACACGGAGGACACACGAGTGGGACATGGGAGGACACGGGGGGACACGAGTGGGGCACGAGTGGGACACAGGGGGACACAGAGGGACATGGGGGACACGAGTGGATCCAGAGATGACCAGCAGTGCCACGCGTGACCCGATGCCACGTGTGTCCCTGTGCCACGGGTGCCACGCGTGGGATACAGATATGACACGAGTGGGAACACACTGGGAACCCAAAGTGCCACGGGGTGAGCAGAGAGTGATGCAGACAGACACGAGTGGATCCAGAAGGGACCTGGGGGTGCCACGCGTGACTCGGTGCCACTCGTGTCACTGTGCCACGCGTGACCCGGTGCCAGGGGTGCCACGAGTGTGCCACGAGTGGGATACAGATGGGACACGAGAGGGACACGAGTGGGAACCCAAAGTGCCATGGGGTGAGCAGAGAGGGATGCAGACAGACAGGAGTGGATCCAGAAGGGACCTGGGGGTGCCACGTGTGACCCGGTGCCACTCGTGTCGCGGTGCCACGCGTGTCCCGGTGCCAGGCTCACCCCATCCGAGCAGGAGGAACGCGGGGAGGCAGCGGCGCCTGGAGGTGGCGACCAAGAGCCGCAGCAGGAACAATCCCTCGGCCATGGCCCACGCGTAATTAGCGCCCACGCAGTACTGCGTCAGGCTCTGTGCCACCCGGCACGCCGTGCCCACCTGCGCGACACGCGTGGGGGGCATCCTGCCCCTTAGTGCCCAACGGACCCCGTGGGTGCCCCGTCTGACACCCGTGGGTGCCCCGTGGGTGTCCCGTGGGTGCCCCTCTCCTCTACATTAGAACCCATCCACCCCCGG